CCCACCCCCCGTCCTCAGGCCCCTGCAGGGAAGATTCCTCTCCCAGGCTGGGCCTCTGCTCCTGGGATCGGCCAGACACAGGTCCTTGCCTGTCAGACCAGGGCTTCAGGGTGGGGACCCCAGGCCCTGATGTCCTCGCCCCGGGGGCAGCTCTGTCTCCCTGATGCTCTCCTGGCCAAGGCCTCTGGGCCTTAAATTCCCAGCAGCTCCTGTTTTTAAGGAGCAGAGAGTCGTTCTTGCCTGGGCTGACAGTCCCGTAGCCCCAACCTCTCCGTCAGCCCTCAGAAAACGGAATGTGGGGGAGTTCTCCGCAGTGTGTTCACCTTTACAGACTTACAGGCGTCGTCCCGACACCCGCAGATTTCTCTCCCTTCCCTGTAAGGGTGTTTTACGAGAGCATTTCTGTGAATACTTTCAGTATTTACCACCACGAATGTGGGTCCTTCGGGCCTTGGGAAACCTTGGGATCTGAGGCCAGGACACATGCCACCCAGATCTGTGGCTCCATGTGCTGTGCTCACAGGACCAGCTACGCCTGAGAGAGGCCAGAATCGGCCGCCTTCACGGCCCCCGGTGCCTGGGCCTTCAGGCAATCGCCTGTGTGGCTGAGGAAGCCCAGGGCCGCTGGGCCCTTCCCCAGGCGGGGTGAGTCCTGCTGACTCGGGCCCCCTGCGAGCCCCAGGCACGGGGTGTTGGACCATGTCGTCAGAGCTGCTCTGCTAAGTGCTCTGACCTGCCACCAGGCCACCTGAGCCACAAAGTGCCGGGCTTCTGAGACAACTTCCCCGCTCCTGAGTCCCATGGTGGACCCTGCCAGGCCACGCGTATCTGAAGGGAGGGTTGAGCCAGGCTGTACCCAGAGTGAAGGGTAGTGGTCCAGGCGGGGACACGGTGGAGGCGAGCTCAGGCCCAGGGGCGAGGCCGCAGGTGGACCGCTCCTTGCAGAGCAGGGGGGTCGGGAGAAGCTCTAGGTTCCAGTGGGGACAGAAGAGCTGAGAGTAGGGGGCTCACCAACATTCTGTGCCTCAGCATCTCCGTCTCTCAGCCAGAGACGAAAAATAGAACCCGAGAGGGTGTGGAGGTCACAGTAGTTAGCATTTGTTTTTTGTTTTTAATGTTCTTATTTATTTTTGAGACACAGAGAGAGCACGCATGAACGGGGGGAGGGCAGAGAGAGACGGAGACACGGAATCCGATGGAGGCTCCAGGCTCCAAACTGT